GCATATCACATGGGTTAGGAGCCCTTAATTGCTATCTCCAGAAAATATACTGAGCACCTAGAAGTTAGAGAAATGAGTTAGATTTCAGGGTTTTCTAAAATACATACACTGATAAAAATATTGCGCTAAAGTGTAACTTACCTTGCTTATATTGATGCATCTCTCGGCGGTTATCGTTTTTACATCACTCAACAAATCATCCAACTTCCTTGATGATAATATTTTCTGCATGAAAAGTAAAAGGATATTTTTGGTTTTCTATCTAACAACTCAACAATTTAGGACAAATTTTGAAAAGCTAGGACATACCTCTTGGAACTTAATAATAAGAGATTTTTCTACATATGGAAGAAGTAGTGCAGAGATTTCTGGTCTTCCATTAGCCAAGCAAAACTCTATAGCACCTGCCACATCAATGTGTTTCATTATAGGACATGTAGGAAATAGAGTGAGAGCACCAAGCATTGCTGACTCCTTATCATCAGAATTGAAGTTTGCTGAAGCAATTTTAAAATCACAATTAATACATTTTGACATTTGTATTCAGCTTGATGAATCATATGACTTCTGATGCATGTATACATACAATTAGAGAAAGGAGAAGTTAGCAACAAATTCCATGCACTTCTGAATGTGGGAAGGTTCCAGAGCTGGTACATCTCTGAAGTATAGGACAATGCTTGTTCTAATTCCTTCATCTAAATTGATACAAGATAATAAAGGATTATTAGAACATGAAGATTGAATGACTCACTGGACTAGAAATATAAGAATATATATTAAATAGAGATTTAAAGAAATACAAGGTATTACCATAGTGAGGTCAATCAATTGCTTCAGGATGGAATTCCAAAGAGTCATGTGAGCAATTTTGTAATCTACACAGAGATGAACAAGTAGACCTATTGCTCGAGGACTTTGCAATTGGGTTCGTAGTATTAAATTGGCTAATTCTTTTTTATCACAAGATTCAAAACCAGCTTCTGAATATGTCAAACCAAGTATCTCCAAGTCTCTCAAATAAGCCAATGTGCGATATTTTTCTCTTAAAATAAGAAAGTTAAAAATAATTCAACATCAATTTCAGTCAGATAGAAATAAATGCTAAAATAGCATGCACTTACCGGATGCTCGCAATGGGTCTTCCTGCAAGCTCCTCCAAAGTTTCATCATCAGTCAACATGCACAAACATTGCATGGCTCTCAAACGCATACCAACACAAGACTCTCCATTGAATACAGTGCTTATCAAGAACAATGCCCATTCTTGTACATCTCCATGTTCCATCACATACCGGGCTCTGTAAGTGGAGATCACATTTTTGTCAGATATGAAATGGCAGTGGGAAATATTTACACATACACTTGCCAAATAAGAAAACTTAAAATTACCTTAAAATGGTATCATCAGCACCATAAAGATTTGAAAAAGAACTCCTTTCTTGTTCCTTCTTTCTTGGGAGATTCATGCCCCTAAAGCAGTCTTCATCTAATGAAGTATTGCAATCCATGACAAGATCAGGTTGGAGCCATTCTGTCACCAAAGTCATGTGTAATGTTTTTAAACAGATTTTGTGCACATTACTTATCTCTTCAACTGCAGCATTAATATCTGAAATATAAATAAAGACCATCAGAAACAAAAGAGCCATGAAAAAAAAAAAATGGATTAATGAAGATTAGATTGGTAAGTACAAATTGCATTACCAAGAGAGTGGGATGCAGTGCCTCTACATAATTCAAGAATAGTTGGATGCTGATATAGAGCATTAATAAGCTCAGTTGGATTTTGTGCAAGTTGTAAATAACATGGTTGACCAAGGCCATATTGATGTAATGTTTGTAAAGTTGCAAGGTGAAAGAACTTCTTTTCAATTTTCATTTTATACTCTGTCTCCTTTGTCTTATTATAAACTATTTCAGAATATTGTAAGCAAAGGTTTGCAGCCGCAACTTGATCTAAGCCTGAAAGCATTTGATTGACAATTAGTTCAAGCTAAGAGAACAAAGCAAATACAGTTGAAGCAACAAACCTGCAGGAATCTTATTCATGAAGAAATATAGTGTGGCAGCTGCTTGCTCAACATCATCCATTTCTGCCACACAAGATGCAATTGATTCAAAGAGAGCTTCATTTTTATAGGATCCACACCATTCCATATTATTTTGATAACCACTGAAGTCCTCTGTCACCTAAACATTTTTAAAAGTCAGCATGAGCTTACTACCATAACTATATTTTTAACATACACTGTAAATTGATATCAAAAAACCTCTGACAACTTACTGTTTGATGCACTGCTATTGTACATATCTTATCTTTGGGTATATCCAATGCTGCAGCAATGGACAACCAACTTTTGTAAGTGCTTAAATTTATTTCATGTCTAGCCACCAGCAAGGGTGAATCAACAAGTCGCCGATTAAAGGGTAAACGGAATTCAGACATCTGAGGAAGACCAAATGAAGATGGAAAAACCTCCGACCAAAATTCTTCCTCTGCTTGGTCTGGTGCTCTGTAATAGGTACAGAATGTGAGAGATATGCAGAATTTAATGACAAACAATTGTTGCGTACAATAATCTTACTTGACCCTGCGATATTTCTTCAGGAATGTTGTAATTAATCTTTTGTTATTTTGATTGTCAACACCATGTCGTTCCAAAATCTCTAGAATTACAATAAAGACCTCATGATGGTAGAAATTAACCTATTTGAATGAGAAAGCAGAATTGAAATAATTGAGGATAAATAATAAGTCCAATCCAATTACAAAAAGGAAAAAACATTTACCCGTTCCCAAGTGGATACAAGAGTGTTGCAGAGGACATTTTTGTTTCTAATCTTCTTTTGGATATCCCAACATTGATCTAGCAATTGCTGTTGTGTATTGCGTTCAATGATTTCTGCAAACATGTGTAATATAAATACAATATATTATTTTACTCTAATAATGAAAGATATCTATAATGTTATGAAAAGAACACAAATCTAATCACCCTTTGTTCCATCGGGATTGATAGAGATAAGGGGGTTTGGATCCCAGGACAATAAAACTGCACAAAGATGCTGCAGAAGCACTTCCTGGAAATCAAGCTGGTAGTCTAAACATAAAGTTTGAAGTAGTGAAGAATTAACTTTTTTGGATCCAATAAGCTTTTGAAGAACGGTTTCAGGATCAGATTTCCCTCGAAGCAGTTCTGAGAAAAAAGAAACAGCAGGTACTTTTAAACTTGAATGAAACAAGACTGTAAAACCCTGATTACATAATTGATCATTGCTAAATATGGCAGAGTATTTTATTATTACTGAAATACAATTAAATTTATTGGTGAACCATACCTTTTGCTGGTATTCCTAGCTCAGAGAGTCGTAAGCCCCATGTGCTTTGAACTGACATAAGCTTAAAATATGAATGCACATCTTGTGTCTTCCATATATTTGTGACAATAGATCCAAGACACGACAAGGCTTTCTGCCTTTGAAAATCAATCTGTGTGCTGAGAGATTATGCTTTACTTTAGGCCTAATGTTAATGGATCAGAAGACACAATAAGACTGTATCATAGAAAAATACCTTGAACACATTTTTAGGAGATATTCCACAGCCCTAGACTGACCCATGTGTGATAACAGACTGAGACTAAGATGTTTGTCCAACTGTCGAGCACCTGCAACTTTGGAAAGTAGCACTTCATTGGTTTTCAACATCGCAGTACCTAAGGGAGAATCCGATTTGTTCTGGAAGAGGAAGAAGTATTTAATATCATCGTCATCTTGAGAAGTGCATAACAAGAAAAAAAAAGCATGTACTTACTCGCCAGAAGGGCATACGCATTACGGTGTGAATTAGACAGAGAATTACAGTGAGAGCAACATCATGCTGTTCATTTTGAAGTTTTACGGTAGAACTGTTTAATTCAGACAAGAAGTCTGTTTCATTATCTGTAATGATAAAGTTGTTTTACACTCTTATTGATTATTATAATTTAAGTGAAAGAACTGTCAACTCACCTTTGTTTTGATGGAAATTGAACGCAGCAAACAGGAAATCATGTAAATAAGAACCACTCAGGAATCCTGCCATGCCAGGGTCCTTATATAAGGGAGTAAAGCGCCAGTTTAGGAGAGAATCCTTCTGCCAAATAGCAGACATATCATGCTGTCCTGACACAAAATTCCAGACTCGTGCCCAACCAAAAGTCTGTATGGCTTCGTTTATATGCTCTGTTAAAAGAATTTAATTTAAATGCCGGTAGACTGGATTCCTTCATAATGTAAAACTCAACCCATATTGTAACTTAACAAATCATAACATTTAAGTTGCACTATACCTTGCTCACAATAGCTACAAACTGCAGAGGCTATATGATACACAGCTGCAGAGGCATCTTGTACAATTTGGATGGTACCTTCTTTTCCACAGTTGGGTAAAACTTTTTTTAGAAATAAGTGAGGAATTTTCATCAACCTCTTATAGACATCACTAGTTAAACAATTTAAATCATCGAAGGCTCTGTAAAATTTTATTAGAACATCATTTAACAAAGTTTTGAAAACCTCAAATTGTGCTTTACCATGAAACTTATTCTCAACTTACCCAGCAATAAAGGTAGCAAGTTCCAAGTCAGACATTTCTAAAGCTTGCTCAACTACTTCCACCAAAGCAACAATAGGAGGAAGCATGAGAAGTCTGGCGGCATGCATTGACTGATAATAAAGGTTGATGGACCTCTGTCTTGGCTTTTCGTTTTCAGTAACTGTTGGGTATAAATTACATTTAAAAATAAATAAATCGTGATTTCCTATTTAGGGGATTCATGGTAAACCATTGAAAATCTTACCCTCAATCAATAATTCAGTTACAATATCTTTTAAAACCTTTTGGCGACATGGAACACTGCTCATTTCTTCAAGAGTCAAAAACTTCCTGAAGACTTTCTGCATGACAAGAAATTTCAATAGTACGAAAAATGAACAGAATGGACAAGCCAAAAGATCAGAAGAAGACCAACCTTCAAACGAAAACGATTTTTCAATTCTTCTAAGGAGAGAGGTAAGTCCTTTGGGTTGTGTAGGTCCTCAATGTGAGTTAGTCCAGGAGGGTTTGAAGATCTTGCAGTTTCATGGCAAACAGCCACAGCAGAAATGAATTCAAGTTTCTGTTCCGAATCACAAACCCCATCCAAGTCCAAATTGGTGGACAATGTGCGTATTAGGAGGGGGCAAATCTGCACTATCATGTCATTCGGCACTTTCTGTAATACCTCAAGGGCTTTAGCTGTCAACCTAGAAATTTAATCAAGAATTTTAATTGACTGAGGACAAAATACCAAAAAACAACAACAACAAAAACAGAAATTAACATAAACAGTTACATACCCCATATAGAACAGATGCATAATTACAGTAACATAGTCGTCTACAGACTTTTGAGAAAGTTCAGCTATATCACTAAGCATATCAGGATGATTCTGCTTCACTATATATTTTAACAACACCTTTTTCTGCAACAATTATAAAAGTCATTTGAAAACACAGCCTTATTAAATGCAAAAGTGAGGAAAAAAAAAACAAAAAAAAAACAAAAAACAACCCAAAACAGCTCAAACTTACATTAATTTTGTTAATGTGTGTCTTTAAATCATATTTCTTAAGTATGAGATTTGTTACAATTTGTTTCTGTTTTTCACGGATGAGTGATGACAAAGGGTGCTTTAATTTGAGCCCCTCTTCAGCAAGGTTGGATATGAGTGGACTCCATGGCACAGGAGCTGCTTCGAGAGAAGCATTAATGCATTGAAGTCGAGTCTACAAGGAAAAATATTGAAAGACAGTCAAGATTTACTTTAAGTGTGTAGAAGAAACAACAATTGAGTAATATATTAACTTCCTACTTTGTAATTAGTTATGTGAGGAATTAGAGTGGCAATTCTTAGTTCCCAAGGGGCTTCATCCCAATTCCACCAACCATCAGAACTTTGTAAAACACACTGAAAAATAAAATGAATTGATCATGGGGTCTTTGATTTCAGAGCCCAAATGGTTCGATCAAAAGAAATGATTTCAAGTTACCATAATGTAGGTAGAAATAATATCATCTCCATCTAGCCTGTGATCCAACACATAACCATTAAAATATCCAGTAACAAATGCTGAAATCGAACTCACATCAATGTAATCCAAAAGCAATACAGCTACATCTGAAGGAGACTGGAAAAAAAGGGAATTTCAGTACAACTGATACCTGTAATCAACTTTGTCATACAGATAGATAAAATAGGCACATACCTGGCTGTACTCTTCAAGTGTAATGAAGATGTAGTATTTAGAGCGCAGGGAATATAAATCAGTGAGAGCACAGCGAAGGACAACAAGAGGTCTTAGAGGAGATGCTTCCAAGCCCACGAAAGGGCTGCCAAAGTTTTGAGAGGACATGAGCTTTAATGTCCTATCTGCATAATCAAGCCCTATTTTGGGCCATTCCCGTGGATGAGACCGTTCTAAATCACTAGGAAAACAAAAATCATAGATAAACAGAAGTTACCATAACACAATTTTACTTAACAAAAGGTATCACTCACGAAATCTTCTGAAGAATCCATGTTACTATCTCTGAAAGGGCATTTGGTTGTGCTTCCAAGAGGGAAGGTAATAATTGTGCAAGCCATTCCAAAATTTTATCAAGGGCCACCCAAGATGGGATTTCTTCCAGAAGGCAATGGATTAAGTATTCATCTTGAAGGAAACTTTTGAATGAGGACTTATGTCTACACCATATGACTGATGCCTCTGACAGTGCTCCCTAAGCAGAACAATTTTTTATATTATGAGGGAAGCAGTTAAGTAAGAAGTTTTGTCAAAAGCACTAACTAGGAAAAAATGTTACCTCTTTCACACATTTCTGCAGATTGCGCAGTAAATCAGCACGACTAAAATCAAGCCATTCCTCTACATTCCAGGACGTTTTCAGAAGATTTAAAGTCTCTAAGCGAAGCATTGAGCCACACACACTAGCTGACCATTCAGAAACTTTACTTTCTAACTCAGGGTTCTAGAAATAAAAAGAAACATTTTAAAAGATACATGTAAGATTAGATTAGATTTTGTATATCTGGATCTTAAAAAATAGAAGAATGGCTGATGGAAGGAAACTCCTTAAGATATGCACTTACATTCACAAAAAATAACTCTAATCTCTTCTGTGCATATTCCAACAAGGTATGAGCAACAAGGTAGTTCGGAGGAACAGCACTAACACAACAATTGCTGACAAAATCCAAATCCTAAATGTAAGATAAAAAAAATTAAAAAAATTAACAGTATAAATGATCAAGAAAGATGAAGTTTAAGACCGGTTAACTCCATGTGATAACTCACCTTAATTTTATCAAGTTCATTTAGAAGGGGTTTTAGCAGATCTTGGATTTCACCATCACTAGTATTCCGGCCCCATGGCTCCATTAGAGAAAGGAAGTTTTGAGCTCTAGCCATGTGAACAGGAGTCATATCCAAACCAAAATTAGTGGCAAGAGACTCAGCAGCCTCAAATTTTTTCCTAAACAAGAGACGCTCTAGCCTGTAAAGATTTGTGTGCATTAGAAAAAACTCGGTTGAAAATAAATGCAACTAGGTAGAGGTGCAGTAAATGTGAGTTCAATTATGAACAGACCTGAACATGGGAACAGTTTGTGTGGCTGATTTCAAAGAAATTGTCGAAGTCTGGTTTGATTTATCACATCCAAACTCAAGGAAAGGAATATCTTCCAAATCACAGCCAGTGCACATTAGAACCGATTTCTCCCCTACAGCTAGAGAAAACTTTTCACCAAAACCTGAAGGGATAGAATTTTATAATGGTCAATCACAATAAAAAGTTCAAAATGTTTGCAGAGGGTATACACTTGGATATCCAGCAGTTTGATAAACCAGACCAAAATTAGAATCTGTTGTATAATCAAACTAGATGACAAGTGTAGAACACAAACCTGGAAATGACATTAATGACAGATTGCTTTTTGCTTCGGCAGATGCAGTTAGAGCAATTATTGATGCTTCTGATGTACTGTTTCCCGTTAGCTGAAAATCAGAAATGGGTTTCCAGTTTTTCCATGTCAAATTTCTTGTCAGTAGAGTAAACGGGCATACACGGACAAGTTGACCAGTAGCATTCAGTGCAATAAAGAGGCTAAAAAATATTTAAATGTGGGGGATAAATATTAGGAATAATGATTGATAAAAGAAAAATAATGACTTAAAAGTGTGCACCATTACCGTTTATCACTTGTTGATCTAATTTGGAACAAAGTCGACGCAGATTGACGCTCCAACCACTTAATTTCAACTGCATCAGCACAAGAGCCCAGGCCTGTAGGCAATGTGGCAATGCCATTGCCTACAGCAAGTATTACAAGTTCATCATTCCACTTCAAGGTGGTAGCAGCACGAATCTAAACACACAAACAAGTGAGTCAGAGAGGCTAAAAAGAAACAAAAAACAGAAACATTTAAAAAATGAGACCAACTGGAGCAATTGAGGTGATCCCACTAAGATTTTCTAAAGATGTGTCTGCAAGTAATTCTTTCACTTTGGTTTCATCATCATTGGAAAGTGCCGTATGCAAAGAGGAAAAGGGAAAATTGGCTAAGCTGCAAAATAAATTACAAACATAAAATAATAAATTGGATCAGAAATACAAAATTTTACAGACAAAAACATTAACTTACTTTGCAACAAAGCCTGATGCACAGACTACTAAAACATCTTCGGCAAAGCTCTCATCAACAATAATTTTTACAAACATTTGACCACTTTTAGGTTGAGTTTGGACCTTCCTAGAGAATAAAATATACATGTACACCATATAAACAATTATTAAAAATGAAGAATTGAATTGGCGACAAGAAACAGAACGCAAACTAACTTGGCATAAACGGGCTGCCCCTCAGAAGGAATATGCAAACAGTGAATGAAACCATTGTTGAGCCCCACTATAAGAAAGTTTCCATCAATAGAATGAGCGAAGGTTTCAATTACTGAGTCGAATTCCATGTTAAACAATGCTGATGAACTTGATGCATCAGCAAACACTGTGATTGTTTTGCCGACACAAACACAAATTCCTCCATTGCAAATGTATCCAAAGTTGAGAAGTGGAATATCTGAAATCTGGTAAAATTTGAGGAGTCAGCAGCTGACAAATTGTTTATGATTACTAATGAAAGAAAACTAAACATGTAACACTAACCTCACTATCATTTTGAAAGGTAGCAGCAGTTGTGATTTCGTAAATGCAACCATCACTTTCAGCGTACGCTCGGGTTCCAAAATGAATAGTTTCATCCCCGGGATCGTAATCGTTTCGGATATTCCACTCCATAGTGGCCGACAGTGTCACAACTTGGTCACAAAGTTGACTGCTTTACGACTGCTAATGCGCTATTCTGTGCTGCTAGACCGCCACTTAAAAGCGAAACAATAACAATGTTGAGGTTTGTCGTGTTCGTGTTTGTTGACGGTGGAAATGGCGCGGAAACTGAAGCAGGGTGGCCCCCGAAAATTAAGTCTCTTTGATAGTGGTGGTGATTGGGAGTATGAAAGGTGTTTTCACTCCTAAGGGGCAGCTGAAACTGCATTTTCGGCACGCCAAAAAATTGCTCTTCCTCAGTCAAACATAGGAGTCTTGTTTAAACCGACGCAATTTCTTTTTAACGGGTAATTTCATAGAGATAAATGTCTCTTCCTGAGACGCATGCGATGTGTTGCCTCTAGTTCAAGAGCTAAGGTTCAAGTAGCGAAGAAGACACTCGTCGAAAGGTGCTCGTCGACTACGAGTTAATCACCAACTTAACTATTCGATTAGATAAGGAATCTTGATTGTGGGTAAAAAAGGCAGATAGAGATTTTATTTTCGTGGCATGACTGCTGATGAGACACTTGACGATCGCAGCAGACGACTCACCCACTCCAACCTGCTCCAACCGCGATGACGCAAAATCACCTCATTCGTTCCCAGCTTTCTGATTGGTTACTTGAATTTATGTGGGGATATTGCGTGCTATGGCTGACAGCGGCGACTCTGGAGGATGGCCTCCTCTCAAAGAAGAAATATCTGAAGTGAATGGGAGCTCTACCTTCGCCATGACTGACAGTTTTGGTATCAATGAGCTGGGAGGTTTTGACGGTAAAGATTGTCACTGTTGTTTTGACCGTGCATGGTTATGTGTACATTAGACTGGGGTCCTGGTGCGCATTACATGCTTGGAAATTTGTTTTGTTGATAAACACGGTGTTCATCGTGCAATTCGGTGTAGCGTTTATTACCAGAGTGGACTTAGCTAGAATTCTATCTGTAAATTATGTTCTGGTACGATGGATTTCAGACGGGTATGTACTGATTCTGTTGTCAAATGATTGTCCGCTTATAAATATTTGCAGAGCGCAATTGGCAACCCAGTCGTACCTTCAATCTATCCCTCTCCTTGCCCAGTTTGAATTTATGTTGTTACTGTACTGACCTAGAATCTGACAACTGATGCATTGTTATCATTTTCCTCCTTAGATTTCCTCTTCTCAGAAGATGGCCTACTCTCGGATCTGGCAGATCCTTTTGCTATGGAGGACGAAGCATTTGACTTTTTAAGTCTTCCTAACAATGTAGGCTATATGAATCAGCCGCAAAATGAACAAGCTCAGCTTAATCAAAATGCGCAGCAGTTTATGCTACATCAACAACCACAGCAGCAACCGCAGGCACTTCAACATCATCTTTCGCCACAGCCTCTTTCGCAACAGCCTCTCTCGCAACAGCCCCTTTCACAGCAGCCTCATCCTCAGCAGGCTCAACCACAACTGAGCAACTTATTGACATCTCACCCTGTTCAAAGAGCTGCTCAAAATTCACGATCTGCTGTCAACCTTAATGGAGTGGGAGCATCGGGAATTTCTGTCCTCTTACAACAAGGAGTTGTGGCTCCAATTGACAATAGTCCTATGGGCTTTTGTCCCTCTCAGGTGCTCCAGCCTGCTTTGACGACAAGCAGTTCATCTCAAATGCCCCTTCAAATGCAGCATCAGTTAAAGCCTCAGCAACATGTCATACAAACACAGGCTCAGCAACAGATCAAGAAGCAAATTTCACCAAAGCCTGGTCCTTTGAAAAAACAACCTATTTTACAACAAAAACCTGTAGCTCCAGCTACATCACAGCCAGGGCAGATAGTTTTACAAAGTGTCAGTCAACTATCGAGTGGTGAAAAAGTGCCACAGGTAAATTTAACTCTCTTTCTGCTATTTGTTTTAAATGATTTTTTTAATTCAAATGTGTGAACCATTATACAGGTTGTTGTTCAAGCTGCTCAGCTCATCAAAACTGATCCACTTGTATCTATACCAGCTACAACACTAATGTATACAACCTCAACTACATCAAGTGCAAATGGTTCTCAGCCATGTCAACCAGTCCACACCTTTGTTAATGCAGCTGGGGGAACTATACTTGCCACAGGTATCTAGTTATCCTTTTTTTTTGTGATTGTATTCTTTTCTCAGCTTGTTGTTACAGCCTCTTCCCTTTTTGTAGGCATTCCCCTTGTACTAGATACAGACAAAGTTGCCATCAATAGGTTACCATCAGTGTACCCCCCTCAGACAACCAACACTACTACGCAGCCCAAAGTTAAAGAGGTGAAACGCAGTGCACACAATGCCATTGAACGACGATACAGAACATCAATCAATGATAAGATAATAGAACTGAAAGATATGGTTGTGGGCACTGAATCTAAGGTAGGATTGACTGTTAATTGATGAATTATTTCTTAAAACCCAATTCTTTTGCTAATTCTTACTTCTCTTTGCAGTTGAATAAATCAGCAATTCTCAGAAAAGCTATTGACTATATCCGATTCTTGCAAAATCAAAATGCTCGCTTGAAAGCAGAAAATATGCAGATGAAGATGAATGCTCACAAGCATAACTTGAAAGACCTGTTGGCTCCAACCATTTTGCCAAGCAATGCCACATCACCTGGTGCTTTCACACCCCCTCACTCAGATATCTCCTCTCCTGAGCTTTCTCCCCCACATTCGCACTCTGATGCATCTCTTCCTCCCTCTCCTGATTACTTATCCAGGAAGAATGATGTAAGAACCCTTAAGTTTTATACCATCTGATGTACAACTACTTGACAATGTTTTAATGCTGCTGGTCTTTCATTTATCAGATCAAGGATGAAGATGATGATGATGATGACGCAATGAGTGGGTCAAGTGACAGAAGTCAGAGTGGGATGCTTGATACCACCAAAATGGCGATGTGCATGTTTATGCTCACAGTAGTGACCTTCAATCCTCTAGGGCTTGCTCTAGATGGTGCGAGGTCCTTCAGTTCCCAGGAGTCATATGGTAGAGGCAGAAGTATCCTCTCCAGTCATGATGACGGTAAGTTTTTGAACCTGATAGTATAGATCATTCAATAAAATCTTTCAGATGCTTGTAAACATGTTTTTTCTGTACCCTTGTTAGCTGACTCCAGCAGTTGGTTTGGGGGTAGCTGGTTTAGTCCTGCTGCCTTACTCCTGTGGATGAGCAACCTGTTGGTGCTGACAGCTTGTCTTGTTAAGTTACTTGCTCTCAGTGACCCAATCATTAGCACATCAAAAGCCTCTACAGCTTTTTGGCGTCACAGAAAGCAAGCGGAATTCAATCTGATTAAAGTAGGTATGCGTGATTTATTCGTCGGGTATCTTATAATGTACCACTGTTACTTATCAAGAGATTTTTTTTTCTCAGGGAGAAAACATTGCTGCTCAACAAGAACTACGGCGTGCTCTTCAAGCATTGGGGAGACCTCTTCCTGCTTCTCGCATTGAGTTGTGGAGCTGTGTAATTTGGCAAATTATTCGGCAGTGCTTGCATCGGTTGTGGATTGGGAGGTGGATTTCTCAGAATGGTCCCACGATTTTCTCAAGAGGTGGACACAGAGCTTCTGCTCAAAGCGCTCGAGAGTTAGCCCTTGTATACCATCGTTTACATCAGCTCCACTTGGTCTCTGCCGGCACCGCTAACGCTTTAGATGGAGGTGGTTTAGGCTCTGGCAGTATAAGTGGACTGGCTCTTGCACTCAGTGCTGTGAACTCAGGTGAAGCTGCCGGGCACTCCCTTTCCCACCACCAGCTGGCTGATATGTATGTTGCCTACGCTCTACGATTGAAAACCATTTTAGCCGCACCTCTTCAGTCTCTCTGCAGGTGGGTGCGCAGATGGTAACAGGAGGACTCTTCCACATCTATCTTACTCTTACACACACCCCTCCTTTGCCAATTTAGAGGATACCTGTCCCTGGCGAGGAGCCATGTCTTGCGGGCCACGGAGCCCGTTCCTGCTCGCCTGCAGTGGCTCCTCACGCCGTATGGCTGCCGCTTCCTCGTCAGCCAGCAGTGGAGCTACAGCCCCGCGCGCTCCTCCGCCTTCAGTATGCTGGGCTCGGCCGGAGATCCCCTCGCTTACGTGATGAGGGTGCGTGAACCACTTTTCTTTTCGAATCTACAACTTGACGCACTGCAGCATCTAAAAATTGCGTCCGCCCACAGGAGTACCGCGAGCACTTGCTGGAGAGGGCACTGCACACCCTGGTGTTGCCCGGTGGCCGGCTGGACGCCGGCGGCACTCCGACCAGCTCCTGCGACGGTGCCACGGAGGAGCCCGCGCGCCGTGCCCAGACCCCCGACGCGCTCACTTTCATCCAGCTGCTCCTGGAGAACTCGACCGCAATGGTGGACGGAGACACGGCTGCAGCTGCGGCCGCGGCCCTCCCCACCCGCAGCCAGCTGCAGGTGCCCTGTAAGTCGTCGAGTCCCGGACCGCCGAGTGTTGATGGCCGGGTGGAGTCTTCCATTAGTATTTTCACCACGACCCTCTCTGTCCCTACAGCATGCGAGGATGAACTCGCCCGTTGGTGGGCGGCCGTGGTGGGCGTGGCGGCGTACTGGCTCCTCGGCGAGGACGCTCACGCCGAGAGGCTGTACGCTCGCGTGGAGCTGCTCCCCGAGCAGTTGTCCACCCAGCCGGACCCCGTGGCCAGGGCGGTGCAGATGGCGTACCGTGCCCGGAGGACCGCGTCGGCCGTGCTCCGCGGCCACCTCAGCCCCGGCAACGGCGCGAGCCGCGAGGCGCAGCGGCTGTGCGACGCGGCCGGGCGCTACCTGGAGGACAGCCTGGCGTACTGGAGCTGCAAGCAGCCCAACAACCTGGTCTTGGTAAGCCGCCCGCCAGTCTACTCCGCTGGAACCCGGTGCCCGGCGCACCACGAGACGCTCGTTTACCGTTGGCCTTGCCCTTTTGTCGCGCAGATGGTGCAGTTGGTGGCGCTCGACTGGCTGCTGGAGACCCGCACGGCCCTGTGGGAGCAGGACAACCTGTCGGCAGCGCCGCACAGCCCTACAGGCGACTCGGCGCCCAGCCCCGTGCCCGTGGCGCCCGCCGTGCTGACCGGCTTCCAGCGGGACGTGTGCAGTCTGCGGCGACTCGCCCAGCAGCTCCCGGTGAGTGCGCGCCGTTGCAGCTGTTCGTTGTCACTCTTCGAGGGATACTCGTCATGACCCGCTCCCCTCTTGCCCACAGGCTGCTGTCCCGAGGGTGTTCGTGTCCGAGGCCACCGCCAGGCTGATGGCCGGAGCTGCCCCGGGCCGCACCCAGCAGCTCCTGGACCGCAGCCTGCGACACAGGACCCACCGCACCACGCCGCTCTGCGGCAAAGGTGAGTCACGGGGCGGACCGGCCCTGCCCCTGCGCCCCACTTAACTGGCCCCATCTGCTCTGGACAGTGTTTTCATTCGTTCTTTCTCCCCTTCGCAGACCGTGAGCAGAACGCGGGCGGTGAGCGCGAGCACGCCGCGGCGCTCTTCCTGGCCTGCAGGCACCTCCCCGCGCCGCTCCTGTCCTCGCCTGGCGAGCGCGCGGGCATGCTGGCCGAGGCGGCCAAGACGCTCGAGAGGATCGGCGATAAGAAGCGACTCGAGGAGTGCTATCAGCTGATGAAGAACCTGACCGCCACTGTAACCGCGGCCTGAGCCCGAGAGGTGGGAGGCAAGCTTTGCCACATTACTTTTAAGGTTTGCATCATTTTTATTAATGTGTAAAGATCCATGTGCGCATGGTCTTATGTGTTGAAATTATTAATTAGTTTGTTATCCAAATGGAAGTGAAGTTTCTTCCATGTTTTTATACCCGTAACTTGTCTAGAATATGTCATGGATCTACATTCCCTCCTCTTGCGTTTTATTTTAGTGGGAAGGGAAACAAGGCAAATTAATGTATGGAATTTTAAACCACATACTTAAATATTTCACTCGTTGTTTTATACAAAGCAAACAACTTGTGTATTTTTGTACAAATATTTTCTGCAGAGACTGCTAATGTGATGTATTTTAGAGTGATTGTTGTTCTGTAAGCTCCATCTATATTGGCCCAATGAACTTTGCAGTTTCCCATATCATTAATAAGTCTGATTGATCTGAATTAGTTTTTCTTTTCATTTTCGTTGTAATTCATTTTACATTTTAAAATGTACTTGTTGGCATTGGTTCTAGTGAATCAACTTTTCTGTCACAAGAAAGTATCTATTTGTGTTTTTGATAAGGAACTTTTGTTGCATGCTCTCATTTCCATTTCATTAGACCTTTTCATTTCATACTCTTTTAAGACAATTCTGTTATAATTTATTTTCTCTCTGTGAGGGAGTTGTTCATTAAACAACTTTTTGTTTAAAAAAAAATCTTGTCTGGTTATTCCTATCCAAATTATACTCCACTGTTTTGATTCATATTTATCTTCATATCTATTTCACCTCTTCAAATGGAGGCTTCCACTGAGCGTTCGAGGGAACTTTCATCCTCCTGTTTTTCTGATAATGGCTGGCCCCAGGAACCAGCTAGAGCAATCTTCATATGTGATGTAAGTGGTGGTATGTAGTCCCTCGGTATTAAGAATGTTGACAGATTGAAAAGGTCCAAAAATACCTTGTAGCGGTCGCTGGAGAAAAAAAATAGTATCATTAGAGTTTGACGTGGAATTCCTGCACGCCACCGAATTGGAGTTTAAATTGTCAACCTTAGAGTGGACCGCAGGTATTGGTAACCCGAAGATCCGCCGGTACCAAGTTGTGCAGAACCTATCATCCTCTGCACCATTATCACGTGATTATCTGTAACAACCAGAAATGGGTGCTGGTCCATACCCTCGACATTCCACAACGCTTGCAGCCAGCCGTCCCGGCCGCAGGACTCTACTATGTACTCACAGCGCCACTTGGTGATGAGCGAGTCGATGTCCATGAGCAGGGTGAGCAGCTGGTGCGGCTGGCTGAAGCGCGGCTCGTCCCGGTAGAAGGTGATCATGATGGCGCCCTGCAGCGCGCGGTACGAGAAGCGGCGCTCGCCGCGCTGCAGCAGCAGCTCGTGCGTGTCGGGCGAGAAGACGCTGTCGAACACCTCGCGCCGCTGCGCCACGTCGTTGAGCAGGAACTTGCGGCGCAAGTCCGTGTCCGCGGTCATGGCCGCGTCGTGCTGCTGCGCGAGCATCTGGTCCACGGCCTGGCGGTACTTGCCCCAGAAGTCGAAGCCCTCCGCCTCCAGCCCCGGGGTCCGCTCCAGCCAGCGCTGCACGAGCTGCGCCAGGCTCGGCTCCTCCTCCGACCGGGTGATGGCGTCCACGGCCGAGGGGTCGTCGCCGAACACGGCGCTGTACCGCTGGTTGAAGCGCACTCGCTGCTCCTGTTTAGAAAAGGAAAAACATTGTAATGTCAAGCTGGCAGCATATTTCGAAGGAGGGAAGCCCCCTCTCGTCGTCGCCCCCTCCCCTACCTGTTTCATTCCGAGCTTGTTTTCCAACAGCCTGAATTGCAGACTCTGGAAGCCCGACGCTGGGCACAGGTAGTTCCGGAAGTCCATAAAATCGAGGGGAGTCATAGTTTCGAGGATCATGACCTGGTCCACCAATAACTGCAAACCAAACGAGGGAGACCAACGTAAAGCTTCTGGAAATAGTGATTACATAGGAGAACTATCACACTAAAAACCTCTGTACCTTCAAAATAAGGACGATCCTGTGAAGACGTTTCAAAATCTCCAACGTCAGGGTCTCGTCTAACCCCTGTCAAAGATTATTGACAATTTAGTTCAGTTACAGCGATTTAAAAATAGGAGTCAACGCCGTCACGATCATTACCTTGCTACTGTTGAATAGAGCTCGCACCGAATCCAGCTCGAAAATTATTTGCTTAAACCATAGCTCGTAAGCTGTGTTGGGACAAAGAGATAATGAGACGAGTCAGAATCGTGTGATCGATCGCTTTTGACAGTGTACACACTGGAAATGCAAGTGTGTGAATGTCGCTCACCTGCAGGTGAGCGACATTCCATTCGTACACTTAGGGGGGTAAACGTGTGAATTTTCTAGGAAAAATTCACACCTTTAGCCCCCTAAGTGTACGAATGGAAGGAATGTCGCTCATCTGCAGGTGAGCGACATTCACACACTTGCATTTCCAGTGCACTGAAACGTATCGCCCGTCTCGCCCTCACCCTGGTGTGTGACGATGAAGAGGTGCTCGTCGTGCACCGCCCTGCCGTTCTGCTCGGACAGCATCCTCTGCGCGCTCAGCACGCGGTCCAGCATCAAGTACTCGCCGTAGATCATGCCCTCCTCGCCCACCTGCTGCTCGCCATCCTGGGCGTCCCTGCTGAGGAGAGAGGATTAGGAGGAGCGGTGTGAGGCTGGGGCGCCGACGACGACGACGGCAGGTGACGCTGCTAGGGACGGTGGGACATGGGCTGGGCCGGGCGGCTAGGGGCTAGGGCGCCTGGGAGGCGGGCCACCCTCGTGGAGCCGGCCGCACGCGCGCGGAGCGGGCGGCCCACCCTCCACCTGACGGGCGCACAGCCGAGCCCCTGCGCCTCCTCGGCCAGGCCCCGGCCGGGCCGCGCGGTGTAATGCGCACTCTCGCTATTCCACACGAGGCGAAGATAGAGAAAGGGGGCTCCGTAGCAAAAGTCATCGTGTGATACGCTCCGCGGCGGGCGGGGCCTCTCCCGGGGGCGGGGCCCGCGGGGGCGGGGCGTCTCTCACTCAGCCACAGCCCACAGGCCGCCCCCCGTCCGATGCAAGTGATCCGCTCAATCGTGCAAACGAGATAAAGTGCGAGAATAAAAGGCGGCGGGGGACGCGGAAGATAAACCGAACCACAACAAGCGCCAGCCCCCGGGCCGCCGCCAGGCCCGGTCCCGCGAGTCGTGTCCGTTGCGTGCGTGCGCCGTATAGGCCTAGCGGGGCCTAGGCTCGGCCAGCCCAGGCGCTCGAACGAGAAGCACAAGAAATGTCGCCCGGGAGGGTGTGCCGTGTGCCACGGTGTGCCACACGGTGTGTCGTCGCAGCCGCACGGGATTCGGACGGCTGTCGCGGGGAGGGGCCGGATAGGCCGCGGCCGAGAAATGGAAAAGAGAAGGGGGAAAATCACCACACGATTCGAAGTTTTCCTTCCACTTCATATAAATCACGAATCCCGCGACAAAAGAAAGGCCTCTATCATGAATACGATTGAGGAGATTATTCCGAAACATGTTGGGGAGGAAGCATCTGTAGGTGACCTTTCAGATTCGTCAATAACACATTCGGGTCAGGGTTTCAAGGTTTTCCAGATAAGTTTGCGGTAGTACCGAAAATGATATTTCCTCTGGTTAACGCCGTGGCAGCCACCAAATTTGTTTGCATCAAATTTGTAACTTGTAAGTTAATAACAGAAAAATCCCGCTTAGGCTACACTTTTATTTTCTTCCGATATAGAGAAGGGAAAGGGCGTGTTGTCACCGGCTTGTCCTGTATCGGGATTATCTCTTACCTCTTGTTGCTGTATATACACGACATTTTGGTGCGCTGCCGGTCCCGTTGCGAGCGCCCCCTTAGCCTGCACTGCACTGAATGCCAAAGCTTTGCATCCCAGCCAGTCCCTTCCCCGACCGGCTGACCACTGGTCTATACCCCG